AAAAAAAAGGCAAAATACGGTATTTTTCCTCTTCAAACATGAAAGGCCTAACAAGTAGTCATTAGAGAGCCTTTTTGAGGGAGTGATTGTCAAATTCACCCAGATCTAATATTCATTTGATTACGTAACATTCGCTCAGCAAAAGTAGTTTGGTTAAAGTCAGATTTTAGTTGATTATGCCTGAAAGGTAGGAGAGAAAATTCTGCAATTATTGTCAGATAGTGTGCACCCCAGTGTGAGATCTTGCAAAGAGGGGAAGAAAACATTGACAGGGCAGTGTGCCGGGTGCTTTCTCTTCATTGCCTCTTTTAGTCCACAAGCCACTTTATAAGGTCAGAAATTATTATCCCCACTTTACCGGTGGGAAAACAGAAGCTCAGTTAAGTCCAAGTAATTTGGATCTAGCTCATACACATGTCGTTTGTAAAGTGATTGAAAACAGGTCTCCCACGATTATTGAGGTATAAAATGCTATCTCCTTAGCTTTTTTTTTTTAAAGATTTTTATTTATTTATTTGAGAGAGAGAATGAGATAGAGAGAGCATGAGAGGGGGGAGGGTCAGAGGGAGAAGCAGGCTCCTCGCTGAGCAGGGAGCCCGATGCGGGACTCGATCCAGAGACTCCGGGATCATGACCTGAGCCGAAGGCAGTCGCTTAACCAACTGAGCCACCCAGGCGCCCCCTCCTTAGCTTTTCTGAATATAAGTATTCACTTATAAGAGCAGTTTTAAGCATTAAATATTGTGAAAACACTTTGCAAATTCCAAAGCATTAGATAAATGTATGGTATTATTTTGCTTGTGAATATTTAATGGGGCTACTTAAAAATATTAAGGAAGAAATTGGTTCAGTTCAGGCTTGTATCCTACATTTGTAGATTATTCCCCACGCTTTCCAAAAAAATTTTTTTTGTATTACATCAACTCCATACCATTAGTCTCTGTTTAGAGATTGTAAACTTTTCAAAGTCATACAGCCTTATTGGTCAACATTTCTCAAATACCTTATTCATGCCACGTAATTCATTTTAGTATATTCTTTTTTAATATTTCCTTTTAAATTCCTTTTTTAAATCCTCTCTGCATATTATACTACCTCTAGATTAATTAAAAAAAAAAAAGTAGTGTGTGTTTGTTGGCAAAATAGAACAGGAAGTAAGGAAGAGACCAGTGAATGTAAGTGGAAGGCCTATGTCTGTAGGGCTATGTTTTATAGTTGCCCACGAACAGTTTGGAATCTTCCAAAAACTTGTTATAGAAACCTGGCCATGTTCTGCCAGGAAAGTAGTGTGTCCCAAAGCTTGTTTCTTGGGGAATGTTGCTCCACCACAGCATGGTACATTGGGAAATATTTCATAGAACATAACTTCTTTTGGACTTTAAGATGCATATTTATATTTTAAAGACTCTGAGAAGTTCTGTAGTAAGCCTGTTTAACTTTGAAATAATTTTCCATGACTTTTCATATTTTCCATGGAACACAGCTCTGGCCAGGGGAGTATGGGATGCTACCATCAGTCTATTCAATTATCTGTTTTCTGCTCATGACGTATCAGTTTGACTGCTGGATTTGGATACAACTGTCAATCAAGATTTTGTAGGGCTAAGATGATCAAACTAAGACACAAACTGGATTCATGGTCCAAATTTATGGAAAAAAGTGGATGAATAAGCTTTTCACAAAGCTGGATTTGGATACAACTGTCAATGAAGATTTTGTAGGGCTAAGATGATCAAACTAAGATACAAACTGGATTCATGGTCCAAATTTATGGGAAAAAGTGGATGAATAAGCTTTTCACAAAGCTGGATTTGGATACAACTGTCAATGAAGATTTTGTAGGGCTAAGATGATCAAACTAAGATACAAACTGGATTCATGGTCCAAATTTATGGGAAAAAGTGGATGAATAAGCTTTTCACAAAGCTCAATTTATTCAATTTGAAGGACTGACATTTATTCTGAATCCTTCAACGTTTCATTTATTTTTTCTAAAATTTTATTTATTTGTCAGAGAGAGAGAGTACAGGCAGGGGAAGCGGCAGGCAGAGGGAGAAGCAGACTCCTCACCGAGCAGGGAGCCTGATGTGGGACTCCATCCCAGGACCCTGGGATCATGACCTGAGCCGAAGGCAAATGCTTTAACCAACTGAGCCACCCAGGCACCCCTCCTTCCACGTTTTAAAGTGAAATGTTGGTGATAGGAGATTTTAGTTGACTCAGCTATGAGCTTCATCACAAGACTAAATCTCCATCATGGCAGAGATAATATCTGTTTTTGCTCACAATTCTAAGGCCAGCACTAGTGCAGAGTCTGGCTCCCAGGAGGCTTCCCATAAAATTTGTGAAATAAATAGTAATTATTCTGATTAGTGCTCTACTTGGCAAAATGTATAGTCAGCACCCCTATATTGGTCTAATTGTTTCTAACTCTTGAAAACCTTGGAATCACTGAACCAGATGAAAAGTCAATTTTGCTAAAATGTATCTATTGCAGCAGAGACAGCTCTTCCACTGTCATTGGCAGGCAGCTGCCCCATTAAGCATTGTATTTAGAGCCCCTTTTGCATTCCAGTGAGGCCCTGTGGCTAATTGTAATTGACAGAGTGAATCCAGAAATGATATATGTCACTTCTAGATCAGGTCTCTCTCCATTCGCAAGGTGAATGCACAGGACCCTCAGGATCTTGGGATGATGGACACAGGATCTTGGGGACCTGAATCACCTTAAGAAGGAAAGTCAGTGACCAAATGAATCGCACACATTGAACTATTAAATAAACATGATATTTGTGTTCAACCACTCAGATTTTGGTATTTGTTGCAGAAGCCAGTGCTGGCTAGCATCAATATATGGATTCACACAAATATGTTTTCAGAGGCATATACTAGAAGCATAAGCACCAAAAGGTTAAAAGTGGTCTTCTCTACGTAATAGGATTAATGGATTTTGTTATTTACTTTTTCAAAGTTACCATATTTTCTAGACTCCCTTCAGTGAATAGGCATTACTACACATTAGGTTTATAATCCAGGGAAGAACACAAATAATATGTATGTGTTTGAATGATTCCAAACTCCAAGCCGTCTTGCTATTTTGTTTTAGGGATCTTTCTCCACTCTCTTCAAGCCCTTTGTTTGTTCTGGACCTCCAAACTGGGCATATGCCCATCTTTAGTCAGAACTGACAAACTGAGAAATAACCTCCCAGAGGCATCTGAGGAATAATCACAACCCAACTTCTCTTTTTGCCTCTCCAAAAAGGTGGGTTACTGCCTTGGGGAGAAAGACTGCTTGGATCATTGTACTGTAGGTGGATCCTTCATTATTTCATTCACATTTGTAGCTTTTTATTCTGAAATAATTTCAAACTTAGAAAGAATAGATTTTTAAAAACCCTTCACCCAGAGTCCTCAATTGTTATCATTTTGCCATATTTAAATTATTATTCTTTCTCTGTAGATAGATGATGGATGGTAGATAGATAGATAGATAGATAGATGATAATAGATATAGTTAGATGGGTGGATAGATAGATAGATAGATAGATAGATAGATAGATAGATAGATGATAGATATAGTTAAATGGATAGATAAGGAGGTAGATAGATAGATGATAGATAGGTAGATAGAATTCTGAACCATCTGAAAATAATTTAAACAAAAAGTTAAAGACATCCGGCAATATTCATCAAAATTCAATTTATAATTAATTCAAAATTCTTGAAACAGATAATTATTAATTCTGTGATTTCACTTATAGTAATTTATTGTAAGGAAATACTTATAATCACAACAATGTTTATCATACTGGAAAACAGGAGATGGCTATGTATCCAACAATAAGTTTGGGTGAGCAAATTGTACAGTACAATTATGTACAATGCAATTACCGTGTTTCCCTGTGTCCTTCTGTTTGCCACTCATCATGGGACTCCCTAGCCATTAAGATGAAGTTCAAAGCTCTTAATAGGTTTGCCTCTGTGGACTGCATCTCTCTTATCACTACCAGGACTCTCTTGATCCTGCCTGAAACTCCTTCAGAGGAAGTGATCATCCAAGATACCTTCAACCTCACCCAGCTTTGGTGAATATTGGTGTCATCACACATGTTTTTCCCACCCTTCCTGCATTAAGGATCAAAGCAGGGACCAGCAGACATGGAGACTCTGTCCTCCTTTGGGTCTCAGGCAATCCTGCTAGCCTAGGAAACAGGTCATGCAAAGTGACCAAGGGTAGAGTAAAAAGCCTGGGCTTGGGGCACCTGGGTGGCTCAGTCATTAAGCGTCTGCCTTCGGCTCAGGTCATGATCCCAGGGTCCCAGGATCGAGCTCCCCATCGGGCTCCCTGCTCAGTGGGAAGCCTGCTTCTCCCTCCCCCTCTCCCCCTGCTTGTGTTCCCTCTCTCGCTGTGTCTCTGTCAAATAAATAAATAAAATCTTAAAAAAAAAAAAAAAAGCCTGGGCTCTTCAGGAAGGTCTGCTCATTGTAAGAGCAAACTAACTTATAATCTGAATCCTACCAAATTTTCAACAGATAACCTATTTTAATTTCAAATAAAGAGTCAATGCCTCAAAATTATAGATTCATGAGGATTCCTAAGAGAAGAATGTCAGCTTCATTATTAGTACATCAACTGGAAAGGTAGATTCCCTGAATCCACCAATGCAAACTTCCAAAAGCTGTGTATCCCTTTCTAACCTGTATATTCACCTTCCTCACTAAGAACAATGAAAACAAATATATTATTACATAATTTCCAAAGGAAATCACTTTACTTTGACATCTCAAATTCAGACTTTCTGAAGTAAAAATAAACATGAAATTTCAAATAGGGAGTGTTTGGGATTATCGTGTTTCTTACACAAATATTTGGATGGAAAATCATAAAATTCGATATAGCACTTATGAAATAAAAACAAGTAAAGTTAACTATGAAATATGCTTCATAAATATTACACAGATTTCATTAAGTCGATAAATTCTGAGAACCAAGAAGGAAACACTCCAAAATACACTGTTTATTTAAAAGACGATATAGTTTGTGTTGAAGACATTGTTTGCAGGAGAGAGGGCTTACAAACGGAATACAAAAATGCAACATTCTTAATCCTTTTGACTGGACACATCAGTCCCGGATCTCTTGCTTCTTTCAAAGAGTGTACAAGATTCCACACAAACATTTAATTTTATTTAGTTTATTAATATGAGCCAAACAGACTTAGCTTAAGAAATGAGGGAAGGACACGCAACAAGATTTGGCTGAACTACACAAAGGGAACCCAAAAAGTGACAAGATTTTCCATTGGTGACGGTTTTTCTAAGGAAAGTTAGTTTACTAACTAACACAAAAATAAATCTACCTTAGCAACTGGGACTTAAATTGAGTCAGGATACAACACACATGACACTCAACATGGTCAGTGAGGAGCTGCAGGGACCTCCCACCCTCCTAGGCTGGCTTGTACTACCTGGCCTTTGACCTGGAACCTCATGAAGGACCCCTCACAGCACAGGGTTTGCAGCCAGCTACATTTCCTCCTCAGCCTCCAATCCATTATGTACCATTTCTGTGTTTCCCTTAGCTTCTTTCTTTTTAGAGAGTGACAGAACTCAAGAAAAAAACTCACCTGGTCAGCACTGAGCAGGGAAGGAAAAAGAAAATACTTTGAGATGGGTTTGGGGTAGTTTGGGAATACCAGTAGACTCAGATAAACAAAGAAGCTAAATGGGCATCACTGAAAAGCACTGAGGTAAGGGGCCCATCAGTTTTTCACAGAAAAGGGCAGAGCTGGGTTAACACTGAAGGACAGAGAGGACCATTGTCACACTGCGGAAGTCACACCCAAAGAACAATAAAGAGGAAGATTAAAAAAATTAAAAAAAAAAAAACAATTTTAAAGAGGAAGAAACATGGAACAGAGCGTACTTTCTTTTACATTTTTAAGGTGAAAGCATTTTAAGAAAGGAATCTGGAAGCCAAATCACCAATTAAAAAGTGAAATAACGGTAATGAGTCTTTAAATAAAATGAACCATGGAAGGAAATAAAGACCTCTTTCACTTCCACTTGACTTTGTCCAAATTGTTAAAAGGTTGTAAGTCAGTCCAGTTTTGCTTTATTGGCAATGGATACATGTTATCTGACATATCTGAGCAAAAGAAGAAAACCCAATGGACATCTCTCAGGTAGACAGGGAAGGATGGACGTAGGGAGGCAGGGCGTGTGTGACCGGAAGTTCTCCACAGGCCTCGTGCTCACTCTTCATGACCACAGTGTCTTTAACCCGACACGTTTGGATCACAGGAAACACCGTCCCCAGGCACAGAATGATGACCACAAGCGTGTGCTGTGCAGCATGCTGCCGAGTACCATGAAGCCCACGAGCAGCTCAAGAGAGCGATTTCTGTGCACAGAAGAGGAAGAAGAGGTTCCACACACCAAAGGCTCTGCTTTATACGGTCTTTCCACATGGGGAGGTAATGCTGTCATCCCTTGAATCTGAAAACCAAAGAGTAGACAATGCCAATGATTGAAGAGAAGGTCTTGCTCAGCTCCCCGACTTGGGCAGGGTGAAAGGGATCGGTGGGAGGGGGTAGCTGCCCAAGGAGTCAACTGTCAGGGGCGTCGGAGCCTTAGGGACTCGGAGGGAGGTGAGGAAGAGAGCCAGAGGCGCCTTTGGGAAGAAGAGATACAAACTCAGCTCTGTTGCTTTTTGAAGCTCTCATCTCATCCTATTCCTGCTTCATTGTGACCTTAGTTGGACAGTCAATCTTCCAATCAGGAGTGAAATCAGGAGTTTTCAGTCAAACGCAAGCAGTTATTGAACAAATAAATTATCAGACATATCAAAAGACAACTGAAACATTGGATTTATGGATATTTGTCTGTTCCTTAGATTTTTACCTGTTGGGGATTAGGTAAAATGTGACATCTGGTTTCTCCAAAGATGAAAACAAAGTAGGGCTTACCGACCACTCTGCATTGTCTGTCTTGGAGCATCTCACGTTCACAGGCAAGCTAAGGACAAGCTTGTTGAAGGAAAGACCTTCCTTCTTAGCCCATTTAAACTTATTCATTGCGTCCATGAAAGAAAGGTTTTTATACTGCTTGGGGCTTTTGATAATGAAGGGCCAGGTCCTGAATTTAAAATAACCACAATTAGTCATATTCAGAACAAAAGCATTACATGTCTCCATTACTTTTCAACATTCTAAAATAGACCTCAGACTTGTCCTGTGTTACCACATAGAAAACCTAATGCAAAGGGTTGATTGACTCATCAGCAATTGCCAGAAGAAATACGCATACAGAGTAAGGAGTCTTTTGAAAAAAATGAAATTCCTTATTTTAGTAGCAGATAGGTACTACTCTTGGATAAATGATTTTGACTCAGAAAGCTTCCCCCAGTTTCACAATTCCTCGCTTATTTGTTTTGTCTCTCCTTAACAATATAGCTGGTATGCATTCCGGTCTGCAGAATTTAACGTTAACGGAGTAATAAAGAAATGTGTTACTGGAAGACATAGAAATTTCAGTTCCATAGAGTTGAAAAGCCTGACCCCTGCTGGCTGCCCTGTTTTGACTTGCCTAAGTGATAATAAATTAAAAAAATCTGAACCTGAACCAGTATTTTTCAAATTTTACTGAGAAAAAAAAATACTCTGCAGAAGATATAGTCTGGCTTCTACTTGCTGCTCTAAAAAAACAAAAACACATTAATGCCCGAAAGAAGAAAGAAAGAAGAAATCACAGAAGAATGATACAATCTGCTTGAAAAGATATTTCTCAAGTGATGTTTTTCATTAAATGTAAGTTTTATATTATTGATTCCTGAAAAAAGGAAAAGTGTAAGTGTTGGCAGACCACAAAGATTTACATGAACTAATCCATGGTCCTTCCCAGAGATTATCATGGGCAACCAGTAGGTATTTGGCTCCCATAACATCCCAAGTAGATGTTCCAGGGGTTCCAGTAACTACCTACTAATTAACCCCAAGGAATTTATACTTTTAATATTTGATCTTCACAATTTATTTTTTAAAAATATTTATTAATTTATTTGAGAGAGAGAGAGCTTGCGTGTGCAAGCAGGAACAGGGCTGGGGGGAGCAGAGGGAGAGGGACAAGCAAACTCCTCAATGAGTGGGGAGCCAAACGCAGGGCTCAACCCCATGACCCTAAGACCATGACCTGAGCCAAAACCAAGAGTCTGACGTTCAACCAACGGAGCCACCCAGGCACCCCTACAATTTCTTCATTTATCTATGCCTTTAATTACTCTCACACACACAAGCTACTCAGGCACATTGAATTACTAGCTTTTTAATTAAATTAACCATCCTTTATTGATCTTTTAGAGTTATGAAAATAAATTTTTAATGTCTAAAATAAAATTATTGCCCCCTTACTCTAATAAATGAAAGAGAGAGAATCTGAAGCTGACTCTACAATGAGCGCAGAGCCTGAGAGGGGCTCACCCCACAGTGAGATCATGACCTGAGCCAAAACCAAGAGTCCCTGGCTCAGCCAACTGAACAACCCAGGCACCCCTACAATGTCCTTTCAAATATGTGGAAAGCTACAGGTAGGTTTTATTAAAAGTTTCAAAATCAAATATTAAGAATAACATTTGCTTTTCAAAGAGATAAGGTGTCCATCTTTTACAAAAGAAAATCAATTTCATAACCAGTGAGAAATGCTGGAAGGAAATCATCAGCCTGTAAGCCCCTGAACCACCACAAGGTGACACTGGAATCCGTACTAAAGCGCTAAGGGGGACTAAATTGGCTGCGTTTCCCCCAGCCTTGCTGATGAGTGAGTAATGCATTGTTGTACATAGATGAAATCTTTAAAAAGTTTTGCTGCTATAATAAATCAGTAAACCAGTATTTTTTTTTGTTTTAGATTTCACAGCATAAATTAACAAAAGTGGTATAAACATACTTGTTAATTTACTATAAGTGTATGGAAAAGGATGTAGAAAAAGTTCACATGTTCGGAGACCTCATGACCTAGGGCTGGTGACCTGGGCACGTGGTCCTGAGCCTCTCTGAGATGGCAGCTGGACTCATATTTATTGTCTCCCCTGCATTCCTGCTGACTTTGTTCAGGCCTCTATCTAAATGACATCACACCAATAAACCTCCTACCCCTTCCAGCCTATCCTATACCGCACTTCGGGATTACCCCTGGAAAACAGGGAATGGAGAGACGGAAGGAGGAGAAATCCTGAAAAAGTAAATATTTATCCTGGTATTTTTCCTTAAAACACTCAGCTTTAAACCAGAAACAGGTAACCTTGAAGTAGCAAGTTCTGCTCTCATGGGGACCGGGAGTTGGTTAGGAATATTGGGAATGGGTTAGAAATTAAAACAGTCTCATTTCTGTACATCTGAGCCGTGTGTAAATGTCTACCCAGATGCATATATAAATAAGAGGGTATTATTTACGAATCACTGTAGTTGATAAAGACAAATTACATTATGACTTAATATTGGTGAGCAATTTTCCTTTGTAAATTTAATTGACAAGTTGATTTAAAAATATATATATAAATGAAATGAACTTAGACTACCCAAAATAATCTTGGAAAAAGAAACAAATGACAAAGTTTTGGGACTTACATGGTCTTATTTCAACACTTATTATAAAACTATGATAACAGAGTGTGATATTAGAGTAAGGCTAAACATGAACATCAGTGAAACAGAATTCAGAGTCCAGAAATAGTCAGTATATGATCCAATGATTTTCAACAAACATTCCAGGGTAATTCAATGGGAAAAAGGTAAGGTTTTTTTTTTTTCATCAAATGGTTCTTGAATAACTTGATATCCATATGAAAAACTGTGAACCTCAGTATTTACCTCAGAACACACATGAAAATTTACTCACCATGGATCATCAATCTAAATATAAAAGCGAAAACTGTAAACTTTTTAGGGAGGAAAAAATTGTCATAACCTTGGGTAAGCGAAGACTTCCTACACAGCATATCCAAAGCACAAAATAAATAAAAAATGATAAAATGGGCTTCAAAAAAATACCGTTAAAAAATGAAAATGAAAATCTCCACAGACTAGGAGAAATTAGTGGTAAAAATATATCTGACAGAAAGCTTATATCTTTTTTTTTTTAAAGATTTTATTTATTTATTTGAGAGAGAGAGAATGAGAAAGAGAGCACATGAGAGGGGGGAGGGTCCGAGGGAGAAGCAGACTCCCTGCCGAGCAGGGAGCCCGATGCGGGACTCGATCCCGGGACTCCAGGATCATGACCCGGGCCGAAGGCAGTCGCTTAACCAACTGAGCCACCCAGGCGCCCCCAGAAAGCTTATATCTTAAGTATAAAGAACTCTAAAAATATAAAGAACTCTTACAACTCAATAATAAGAAAACAAGTAACCCAACGAAACAATGGACAAAAATTTGAACAATTAAAAAGGAACATATATAAATGACCAATAAGCATGTGAAAAGAGGATCAACATTGTTAGTCCTAAGAGAAATGGAAAATAAAATCACAATAAGATACCACTACATACGCTTAAATAAAATTTAGGACTTCTTATACATTACTGGTAAGAATGTAAAAAGAAACTTCATTTTGGAGAGTATTTTGAGAGTCTGATGAGTTAAACAATTCCAGTGATTCCAGAACTCCATGCTAGTCCAGAAAATGGAAAACATGTCTATACAGAGACTAATATAATACTGTTCATAGCAGCTTTCTTCATAATAGCCAGAGACTGGACACAATCCAAATGTCTTTCAACTGGTGAATCAATAGATGAATTGTGGTGTATCCACACAAGGGAATACTACTCAGCAATAAAAACGAGTAGACTGCCGGTAGAGGTACCCACACAGATGAATCTCCAAAACACCCCGAATCCAAGAAGCCAGGCACAGAAGAGTACATACTGTAGGATCCCATTTTTATAAAACCTAGAAAAGATCGAACTAATGTAGTGATAGAAAGCAGATTTGCAGTTTCCCAGGGCTCCGTGTGCGAGGTGGGACTGTCTCCACATAGCAGGAGAGAACTTATGGGGGCGATGAAAACGTTCTATATCTTGTCTGTGAAGGGGTGCATTTTGTCATAGGTAAGTTCTACCTCAAGCAATGTGACTTTAAAATAAAATTGTAAAACAGAAATAAAAACATACCAACAAGCCAATGAGAAAAAAGACAACATCATGTCATACACTTGATAATCTAATTGTTAAAGAAGAAAGCCAGGAAATCTGACCTAACAAGGTATAACTGAATCCTTTCAACACTCCAAGAGTAGAGGAACGTTGAGAAGCCCACAGTAAAGTTGTCTCCCTGATAGAAGAGAAGCTTCTGGGCCACAGCAGATTTGACTGCATGACGTAAGGCCTCAGACATTCCTCTACGGAAAGGGATTCAGTCCCAGCCAGTTAGAAAACTTCCGCAGGGGGCCGTCTGGCTGGCTTGGTCCATGGAGCATGTGACTCTTGATCTCCGGGTTCTGAGTTTGAGCCCCACGTTGGGTGGAAAGATTACTCAAAAAGAAAACCTAAGGGGAGCCTGGGTGGCACAGTAGGTTGTGTCTGACCCTTGGTTTCAGCTCAAGTCATGATCTCAGGGTCGTGAAATCGAGCCCCGCATCAGGCTCTGTGCTCAGTGCAGAGTCTGCCTAAGACTCTCTCTCCCTCTCCCACTGCCGCTCCCGCACCCTCTCTCTCAAATAAATAAATCCTTTAAAAAAAATCTTATAAAAAAAAATAAAACTTCCTTGGTAGATTTTCTTAAGAACATCTGAGGAAGGAATAACCCATCCACTGTAATCCAGAGTACACAGTCCCACCTCTATACCTCTATCCCCAGAGCCCTTTACCCTCAAAATACGGTAAAGTGTGTACATAAAATATGTCAGCCAAACCTCAAACTGCAGTGTGCAGAGACAGAGGGCTACTGTCACATTTGCTTAGAAGGTAGACAAGAATTCACCCACATATTATCAGAGCAAAGAGACGTTTTAGATAGAATTAGCTCAGCATAAGCAAGAAATGACATAACAAGCCCGCAAACATAGGGAAAGAAGAAATTATATCACATTTCATGAAAAGAGACAGAAAAAGCTGACTCTAGAAGAAAATATAAACCAATTATACCAGAGAGAATTCTCACAAGTGTTTCATGTGCTAAGTTTATTTAATAAGAGCATGGATTTAATTAAACAAGAGCTCACATACAGGAATTTAAAACAACAGAATGAGATGAAAAGGGATGTAGCAGACCAATGGAAATAAATTTAGGATAAAATAAATTTAGCACCAAATTAATTAGAAAAAGCAAGAAGCAGAAGAACTCTCCCAAAAAATTGTAAGAAAAAGCACTTGTAAAAAATTCCAAATAGATTAGAAAACACTCTGTAGATATAAGAAAAAAATTTTACCTACAATAAGTGCTAATCATAATCACAAACAAGACTAAATCCTACCATTTTATATTTTTGCATC